GCATTGGATGAGTTTCTACCAACTTACCTGGCCAACCCACTGTCTAAGACCTACAATGTGCTCCCGGACTTGCTCAGGAGTAAACAATTCTGTCAGTGACACTCCCTTTATGTTTGGCTTCCCAGACTTGGAGGCGTTTTCGGAAGGTAGAGACGTATTTTCTTGTTTACCCTGGTCCAATTCCTTCTCAATCTTAATGGCCTCCAGATCCTTCATTACAACAGAATTCTCCGATTTGATACTAGAGTCTTCAGTATCCTGGAGGTGGGTATCATCCATATTTTCATTTTTCATCTCAACACTTTCAGGACTTCCGTGTTTACTTACAGGAATTTCCATCTCTACTTTGGGAACTTCCGGTTCCATTGTCACACGAGGATTAACATGTTCAATATGCTGCGCATCCTCGAGGGAATGAGGTTCATTTATGCTCGGAACTGGTATAGCAGAACTCTCACTCTCAGACACAAGAGGTTGGGAGGCTTGTTCCATCTTTAGGCGTTTAAAATTAGGCTGTAAATCTTCTGGAGTTTCGGCAATAGCTGGACTCCTATTGCGTGTCGACATACCCATAATTTCACTGGTATTATAGGACTTACAAGATCCATTAACTGAACTTGGCAGACCAGAAACCAGATCAGGGCGACCATATGCCTTTAGATATGACCTCACATAATTTTTTACAGGAATGCAAACCGGGCAACTTGTATCCCTACAATGCCTGTGATGATTAACCAGAACTTTTGTAGCACGACAGCGAGTATATGGACATTGAAATACACTGCATTGTTCCATATGCTTCAACAGTTTCTGAACATTTACGCAATTAGGATCACATTTCCCTTCTGAAGCGGGACATCGACGAGCATGCCTCAAAAGCAACAGCCATTTCTGTTGATTCTTGAACTGTAGTTCACGATTAAGGTTACCAGATCTGCACCCAGCACCACTGACATTTGGAGGTTCTGCTGTCTTGGAATCATCGGGTTCACCAATGATTGATTCCTCTGAGGATAGATTATTTCGCTCAGCTACATCCTGCCCCGGTATTCTCTGACAAAACTCCTCAGGCACAATTTGATCCTGAAGAAGTTTCCCAGCCATATGAGACCCATCATGAGTCTTGGGATGTGACAAATCATGCAGTGTTGAATCTAATTGAACACTACCAGAAAAACCACTAAAACCACTTTGAGAATTAGGAGAAAATTGATGCGAATGCGAAAATTGTTGCATGTGCTCAGAAGTTTGAGCTATAGATGAACAGATATCATGCGAATAAGACGGGTGTGAAAGGAACTGAGAACTTCTACAATGGTCTTCCATAGAATTTTTTGTTAACTGATTCTGCGTATCAGAATATTGGAATTGCTCAGAGACGGATGAGTGTGGATTTTCATCATAGTGTTCTGTTCCAGGCTCGGGCTTCACTTTAGAACCTATATCAGATGGCAGCTGAGACTCTGAAAAGGCATCATTCTT